GGGAGAAGGACCAAATTCCTTCTATGAAGCCAACATCACTCTAATACCAAAGCCAGGTAAAGATACAACCAAAAAAGAAAACTATAGATCCACATCCTTAATGAACATAGATGCAAAAATTCCCAACAAGATACTTGCAAGTCGCATACATATACACATCAAAAAGATCATCCACCATGATCAAGTTGGCTTTATTCCAGAGATGCAAGGATCATTCAATATACGTAAGTCAATAAACGTCATAAATCATATAAATGGGCTCAAAGACAAGGACCACATGGTCATCTCAATAGATGGAGAGAAGGCCTTTGACAAAATTCAACACACATTTATGTTCAAAGTCCTAGAGGGAATTGGACTGGAGGGGACATAGTTCAACATAATTAAAGCCATGTAAAACAAACCCACAGCCAACACCATTCTAAATGGAGAAAACCTGGAAGCTTCCCATTGAAATCAGGAACCAGACAAGGCTGTTCACTATCTCCACTTCTCTTTAACACAGTGCTTGAAACTCTTGCAAGAGCAATAAGACAAGAGAAGGAAATTATAAGAGTAATAATTGGAAAAGAAGAGATCAGCTTATCCCTTTTTGCAGATGAAATGATATTATATCTAAGAGACACCAAAAATTCCATCAGAAAACTTCTAGAAATTATTAACACATTCAGTAAAGTGGCAGGTAGCAAAATTAACCTACAAAAGTCTGTAGCCTTTCTATATACCAATAACAAGCCATCAGAGAAAGAGTAAATGGAAACACTCCCCTTCACAATAGCTGCATATATATATATATATGAATAAACCTGAACAAAGTCATTAAAGACCTCTACAATGAAAATTTTAAATCTTTAAAGAAAGAGATTGAGGAAGACATAAGAAGATGGAAGGACCTCCCATGCTCATGATTGGAAGAATTAATATTATGAAAATGACCATCCTGCCAAAAGCCATTTATAGATTCAGTTCGAAGCCAATCAAAATCTTTGTAACATTTTTCATAGAATCATAAAAAAAATCCTAGGATTCATATGGAAGCATGAAAGACCATGAACAGCCAAAGCAACCCTGAGCGCTAAGAGCAATGCGGGGGAGGGAGGGGATTTCTATACCAGATTTTAAACTGTATTACAGAGCGATAGTCATAAAAACAACATGACACTGGCACAAAAATAGACCCATAGATCAATGGAACAAAATTGAAGACCCATATATGAGTAAATGCAATTTCAACCACTTGATATTTGACAAAGAGGCCAAGAACATTCACTGGAGGAAAGACAGCATGTTGAGCAAATGGTGCTGGCAAAACTGGATCTTCACCTGTAGAAGAATGAAACTAAACCCCTATCTTTCACCTTGTGCAAAAGTCTATTCCAAATGGATCAAAGACCTCAGTGTAAAGCATGAAACTCTGAAACTGTTTAAAGAAAACATTGGCAAAAACCTACAAGATACACGTGTGGAAAAGGATTTTCTAAACCAGACATCAGTTGCTCAGGAAATAAGGTCAAGAATCAACAAATGGGAACTCATAAAACTAAAAAGCTTCTGTACATCAGAAGAAGCAACCAAGGAGGTAAAGAGAAAACCCACAGAGTGGGAGAAAATCTTCACCAG